ATCAAAGTTATACGGATCAATGAAGTTGCAACTTTGACATTAATGTTTGTCGAATTTAATCCGATAGCAAATAATTATCAATTAATTGATGATATTCGAATCAAAATATATACTAATTATTAATTTCTCATTTTAAATATATCCATATATTAATTTTTATGAATAAACCAAGAAGAAATTATTCAGAAAAATCAAAGATTACTTTTCTGTTAATACTTTATATATTTTGTAGATTTATTATGACAATACCAAATTCAGTAACTAATGCAAGAAATTTGTAGAATACTATACTTTGATTAAAACAGTACTTTAACTCTTTATATTAATAAGAAGAAAATTGCATATAAGAAAAATTTAATTCCTTACCAAAATCAGACTAATATTTCACCTAACTAGAACTTTTAAAACTACACTTCTGTATTATTTATGTATCAATTCAATATAAATTCTCCTAGTGAAGTAAGTCTCAAAGTACCAAATATTAGACAAATATCATAAGAATAGAAATAAACAAAGCAGTAAGAGCAATCAAATCTATCTTTTTCAGCATAAAACATATTTTGCCTGTACTAGAATCAAACCACAGTCCGAAGCAGACATTCTGTATCTTGAGCTAGCTTTTCCTTGTTGATATTGCTTTTGTTTTTATTTTCAGTTAGGAACTTCATTAATAGTTTTGAAATTATTATCATTATGAATTTCGAGATTTACAATAAAAAATATTGCAAGAGCTGTTTTCAATTATATAGTTATGCGGAAATTTAAATCAGAGTATAGTATTCTAACAATCTCTTTCATTAGATACAAACATTGAAGTCGTCAGAATGCATCTATAAGCATATGCAGTATTAATAAAAAAGATTAATTTTTGATTTTTCTGAATAATTACTTTCTTTGTCTATTCGTATAAAATAATATATGTTTTCTTTTTAAATGAAAAATTAATCATAATTGAATATTTTGAATTGAATATCATCAACTAATTGATAATTATTTAGTATTTATTAGAATTGAAATAACTTAATCAAAATTGTCAAAGAATTTTAATCAATGATAACTTGAGAGAAAAGGAAAACTAAATAAGTATTAAAATAAATAGTTTATTTTGAAAAAAAATACATATGTACTGAAGATGATCGTTAATAAAATTAGCTGAAAAATTCAAAAATTTTATATCGCATCAAAATTTTCAAAATAAATCATTTATTTTTGCCTACCTATTGCATACTCTATTATTTGTTTATATTCATTATTAACTAAGTTGCAACTTCATAGATCAGCGTATACGACATATGAAGAAGATGATTGCACATTGACGAGGAAAGTACCCTCACTAACACACGTCATTTGAGCACATATCGGACCCAAAAGTCGATCTTGGCGAGACTACTAAAAACCAAAAATGATTAAATCCCATCGGTCCTTGACACCGATCTATAAATGATTGACTAGGTTTTTCAGTCATTTGCAGTTAGTTTCTGAAAACACAAATCATGTAGTTTCGATATACAATTTTACCTATAAACAGATCTAATAACTCTTAGAATATCTTGAAAGTTTCAACCGAAAGGAATGTTCATTCTTCAAGATATTAAATTGTTAAGAAAACTCATTTGTCTCAGACATGTCATAAAATCGAGTTCACTTAAAAACCCAATGGATTCGATGAAGAAACAATCTTTTCGGCTCAAATCTTCAGAATATTTTAAGAGTCAATATACATATTTATGGACGAGGTTTCGGATCGTTATTCCATCATTGATTTTTCAGAAAGTATCTAAAAATGGATTGAAAAATTCAGTAGACCAATCATAACGTGACATCAAAGGCTTTTGACTTTTACTAATATGAACTCACACAGCGAGTGCCAGTCGCAGTAATATGTTCGTGAGCATAATTACCATGACATCAAAACATATATTCACAAACTTAGGCGTGATTAAGAGTTTAAGAAATAAAGAAAACAATGAGTTTTGAATGTGATAGTAGATCATATGCTCCTCATTTGAACGTACATATATCTTTCTGTTTTCACACTAATATTTCCGTGAAATATCAAACAAATGAACTGAAACTTATCAATGGAGTAGACCTATGTCTTGTCTAACTATTTGTGAAACGATTTATAAACAAAACAGAGAAATAATCCAGATATAAGTTGTATAATTAAATTCTTCACATTTGTCTAGTTGTACTCACAACAATCTTGATCAATTTCATTCAAAAGTCTTTCAATTAATTCTATACTCTCTTTAGTTAGACCGAATGTATATGAAATACATGTAACTCATTTTATCTCATATGACTTTGAAGTCTATCTATTATCTCATCTAAATATTGATCCTTTCTTTTGGAACAACACTTTGTTCACTAAAAAGTGTATTGTACATCTCAAAAAAGTTATTGAATTTTTGTTTTGTATCAAGCACTACAGGTTTTTACACAATTGTGTAGTGTTACACTATTTTTGTCTTGAGACATCATTCAATAAGAATTACAACATGATTCTCGTTTGCTAATACACTTGTATCATGAACGATGAGGTCAGTTAATATCTGTTTTTTTTTAATAGTGATTGAATTACTATATTCAATTATTCGTTAAGAACTAATAGGTAAGACATAATGAGTGGCCGAGTTTCACACATTTTATCTTTTCATCTCTCAATATGTTTTATTTTAACCCTTTACTCCCCCTTGGTCGCTGGAGTGACCATTTGTAGAACGACTGCGGAAAAGAAAGGGAGCATCGGGTTAAAAAACGCTAAGCACCTTTTTTGTAGTAAACTTCATGGGCTATCCATTGGTAGAAAGACTGTTCCTTTTGATTGCTCCATCTTTGAAATAAAGGGTCTAAAAAATCGAAAATTTTGAAAAAATGAAAAAAATTGAAATTTTTTAAGTAAAATACTTTCTACTCGCAGCCAATAGAGATCTCATGGAATTTCTATGTGATATTAATTGATGAAGAAGTTCTTTGATAAATAAAATATATTTCAAAATTTTAGTGATAACTCAGCGAATATGACATACAAAGAAATATGATTGACCATGTAGCCACCAATTGACCTATGGGGCGAAATCAAGAGCACAGTTAATACATATATTAGATACCTCGACTCATGAGAAGTCGAAACTCTATTTATGATGAATTCAATTTGATGAGAGGTTATTAAATGGCCAAGAATAAAATTGGCTTTAATTTGAAAAAACATCTAAAAAACGCATGTATTCTTTGGTGTTCATTTTTATGGGTTTATTTCTCGTCTTTTTTCCATTATTCTAATAGCGCGAGATATATGTTCCTTCTGTCCACTCAATATTGTGGTCAAAGAATAAAAATCAACTCTTACGGTGTAGTTCAATTTTCTTTCCCTACCCCATGATTTCTGGATAAATCAAATCGTCCTACTCTTGGAGCAGAACATTCGATGGATCAGATTATGCCATTTGCATACTAGCGAGGGTAGTACTGTATTAATAAAGTTATTTTATCAGTGGCTCTTCTGGAACCTCCATGGGGGGTAAAGGGTTAATAGAGAAATCCAAGTAGACAGAATTCTGTTCGATCAAGTTGGTACGTTGTGAACAAGATTTTTATTTTGTTATATAAAGGATTTTCTTTCTAATTTTATCCATCAGTAAACCACAGACAGTAGTCATTAGAGGTGAGAAAGTTATTGGTATTGTTATATAGCAATAACAAAAACAAAATATGTTATCTTATCGTTTCTCAAAATATGTATGACAAGTTCTTATATCAAATGGTAAGAAAAGATACTGTATGAATAAAGTGATCCTTTGACGTTCGTATCAACTATGCTTAGATTTGTTTCATTGATTTTTTTGAATCAAAAAGTTAATGTTATTGTTATTAATAACAATAACAATAACTTTCTCATCCCTAGTTGTCACGTTGCATTTGATTGTTAATAGCAACTCGTATATAATAGTGTAAAATCTTGAGATTAGAACTGATCAGTAGCTATCTATGTTTGTTTATAAAATGTATGGATGAAATTCTCTTCACACAATGTCGATGGTTCTGTTTTGTGTATATACTATGTACTAGTATCTTATTGTTAGATTAAATCGTCATCCAACAGTCGTTTACTTTCAGATTACGTACGTGAAAGACCTATTGCGTGTCTACTTCCTGTCGATTCACTATATGAACACGCTCTCATGAAAAGTATTTCCTGTCTATATATATAAACTTAATTGTTGGTAAAAGTGTAGTCTAATTGAACTCAACTGTTAATATATTATTGTAGAGAAAACTTAAGTAAACAGCTTTTGTTTCAGAAGATAGAGTCAGTTCTGAGATGAGCTAGCAGATCGACTTCAAACTTATGTAAAATAAAATGATTAACATGTATTTCGTATATATTCAATCTAGTTTAAGAGAATGCAATTAATTGAAATGCTTTTAAATAAAATTGATCTAGGTTGTTTTGAGTATATCTAATCAATGAAACAATATATTTTACTCAAAATTTTTGCGAATTAGTAGAGAAATACGAAGAAATCAATTTTTCAGCGAATATTTGGCTTAATTTTTAAGTTTCTAAGAAAATATGACACGAGTTTTGAACATTGATTATTTTTCTATAGAGTTACGCTTCTGTGCTTTAATTTAATGTAATGTACTTCTGGCAAATATTCCATATGTTTATAAGAAGATTAATCGATTTCATTCTATCGTTTATATCTAGATTATTTCTTTATCTTTGTTAAAAAAATTCTTTCATAAATAGATAGAAAAGATATAAAACTGCTTGATCAGTAAGTTTGAGTATATCAACTCGACGTTTTATAGAGATATTGGTATGAAAATAGAAAGATATAAAAAGTTCGTTCTCATAAAGAACATCTATTCTATTTTTATATGCTCAAAGTATCTTGTAATTCTTACGAACATTCTTTTTTCCTATTCTCTTTTTATTTTATAGAAAGTCTATATAAGATAAATAAATGTTAGAAACGTTCTCGATGTACAACATGGAACATCTCAGCAACAATGCACGTCAAATAATGATTATAGTTGGTACAATCATGTTTATACTTGGCTCAATTGGAAATATTTTAAATATTTGTGTATTTGCAATATGGTCTCGTTCACGATCAACAATAACTGAACGTCATATAATTGGTGAAACAAATAATAGTCCATTATATTTACTTATATCATCAATATCTAATTTAATTGTAATTCTTTATCCATTATTAACTCGAATTATATTTGATGGTTATAATTATTTAGTAACATCAAATACAGTTTTTATATTATGTAAATTACGATTTTTTATTTTACATACATTTGATTTAATATCATTAGCATCTTTTTGTATGGCTACATTTGATCGATATTTAATAACAGCTCGAGATGTTCATATACGTCGTATGAGTACAACAAGACGACGAACAAAACAAATTATTTTAGCTATATTTATTATATTTAGTTTACATAGTATACCAATTGCTATTTATTTTCAAGTTTCAAATACTGGTCAATGTGATATAAGTTCAAATCAATATTCACATTATTATTTATATGTTTGTCAAGTATTACTTCATGGTATATTACCTATTATATTTTTATCAATATTTGGTCCATTAACAATGAAACATTTAAAAAAACTTCAACATCAAACACATGTTTATAGTCATTTAAAACGTCATAAACAATTATCTTTTATGTTTTTCTTAATGTCATTTACAATTGTAATGTCATCTATTCCATATTGTATTGAACAAGTTTATTATAATATATTTTCTAATTATGCTGCTTATCATCAATCATCTTTAATATTTCTTTTACATGTTATTTCTTCAATATTATTTTATATAAATCCAGTATCAAGTTTTTATATATATTTTATTTCAACAAAAAAATTTCGTCAACAAATACAAAAATTAATTCGATGTAATAGACATAATCATTTTTTTAATCATAATCAAGTACATACAATAACAACTCCACATAATATTCATTAAGAAATTTTTGAATATGAAATCATTTTAATTCTTTTATTTTTTGTTTTTCTGCTAAAATAAATTTTAGTGATTATATTAATATCAATCTAAAAATAAACAAAGTTCAAAGATTAAAAGAATCTCTTTTTCTACTAGTTGACTCTATATATACTATTCTATTGACTAATCAATAAGAAACGGAAAATATTTGCATGGCTTGTTTTCTTTTCATCATATTCATATGCATAATAAATATATAAAGAATATTTGAAATAGATCTTAATCAGAAGACTGTCATGACTGTTCATTTCAGATATTTACAGTCTGTTCAAATATAAAACATCTGACGAAAGAAGCAGGTGCCAAACATGCGTCAATGCTTGCAATTAATTAAATTATTATGCTTTGCATATGCATTGAAATAAAATAATTGTTCTTTTAATATTTTCATTCGTAGACTTTCAACTTTTCTTCTGACTACATATTTAAATATGAGAATTATTGATCATATTAAGAAATTGCTATTGAATATATTAACATAAAGATCAGTACTATAAGCAGATTGGAATCTATTTGATTTACTTTTTCATACATGTATAATGTATCTGAAGCATTTTTAACATATTTAATATATCGTACTTTTCTAAAAAAAAAATTCTAATTATTAAATAATTATAAAGATCACAAATAATTCAAAAAACAATTTTATATAGAAATGAATAGACGACAATCAAAAAATATAACAGGAACAAAGAGAATATAAAAATATTCAAATGTCAATATCTTCTTGCTAATAACAAAATAAATAATATTTCTAAAGAAAACATATCAATAGTAGAAAAATAACAAAATACATTCATTATAGTTACGTTTTACTACTAACATAAGAAAAGTTTCACTTTATAATTAACGAAAAAAAACCTAGTGTCGATTATATAAAATCTATGACTAAATTATCTCTATGTAGATATCTGAATTACTTGACTGTTAGACTGAAATTCATCCTATCGGTTCTGATGTTTCACATCTGTTTATCATTCTCTTTATCAAAGATAGTTTTTTCATGATTAATTTAGTTTTTTCTTTCTAAACTTTATTACTTCTTAAGTTATTGTATTATATTCAATTTCTTCGCTATTTCCTTTCTAGATAAGGATGATAGACACAAATATAAAGTGAATCATACTTACATAAACAATAATAAAGCCCTTTTGAAAAGGTCTAGATACAAAAATTCGTCTGAATCTTTAGATAAGATTTTTATTTTCGAACTCATTATTGTGTAAAATTGAAGTATTTTCAATTTCTTTTTGTAATATTATTAGTGCATATGAAATTATTAAAAATATTTGTTGAAAAATTTTTTTTTGTCACTCTTAAACGCTTTAAATTTTTAAAATTTTACTTTTTAATCTCACTAATAAGAAACTAACAGTTAAGAAGTTACGTTAAAATCAATACAATAAAATCTACGCTTATGCGGTAAGTATCAGAGATGGACAAAGTCGCACCGCGCCTCCCCGCGCTTCCCCGCGCCGTTGCTCACGCCTACGCTACACTAGTCTGAGCTTCGATGAGCGCATGCTTAGAGCATCCCTGTATTCGGTGGAGTTTGAGAAACTGATTGGTAGAGCAAAGAGAAAGAGAGATGTGCGTAGCGCCTAGACGCGAGCAGTGGCGCGGGGAAGCGCGGGGAGGCGCGGTGCGATTTTGTCCATCTCTGGTAAGTATATAAATATAGATAACAATCAAGTAAGAGACCGCTATTTATACACTTTTTGTGCTACGAAACTTGTAAAAATAGAAATAAAAACGTATAATCTATTCTTTTAGGAATGAAAAAAAATATCATATCCAATTATCAGTGATCAGATCAGTAAGGAGAGAAAAAAATAATATTTTTAATACCATTATATAATCATAATAAATTAAAGTATATCGTGTCAATAATTAAAAATGTTTTTCATTCGAATAATTTCATATCTATATAGTTATTTATTGGCTTAAACATTAATTGATGTACACTTCTGATATGAACTTATCATTAGTAAGAATAACTTTTATTCTATTCGAAAAATAATTTTTGACCAGCAATTTTCACAAAAAAGTTTGCTTTAGTGAAACCATTATTTTGTTTTTGCAAAACGAAAAACAACACAATCATTCAACCCTTTAGTATTTACTGCTCTATTTTTTATGAAATATAAGTAAGATTTTATTTCTCTGTGATCCATAGATTGAATTTACATATGTATGATAGTATCAACTCGATATAAAAGTAGGACGAGAAAGAAAAACTCAAGGGCCATACACAATAGCATGGACAAGTGAAAATTAATCAAAGAAAAGAAAGGAATATTGGTATACACACTCGACAATAACAACATAGTATCGTTAACCAATAATGAATGTCTACATGAAAAGAGATAAAGTATGTTTGTAATCGGATCACAGCGATAAAACATACTTTCGTCTTTAATCATCCTTATTGAATATAAGCATCAATTTATATACTATTTCGTTTTTATTTGTTTGTTGCCTTTAAGCTATTTTATTGACGAAAAAAGAAATGAGCGTACAATATATATTAATTCTTATTCATTTATTTAACTTTGTTTATAGAAACGAATGAATACAATCATGTGGAAACACTTTAATATCTTTATTATTGTTATTCTTCTTGAACAATGTACTTTAACATGTCATTTTTTAATATCGAGTGACTTAGAATTAATGCTCGTACCTTCCGTTGCTTTTCGTTATCATTCAGCTACTATGGATTTAACAGCGTCTGCTCAATCTTCAGATGATTGGATACTTTATGCTCAAGGTTATCTATATTGTTTTACTATTAGACATATGTTAAAAAATTTTCTTATTCTAGGTTGGCTATTTAAAGCAAATCCATTTCGTTCAATACTTGCTACATCTGCTCTTTCAACAACTGCTGGTGATGCAGAAGAAATTCGTGTATCTTATTTTACAGCAAGTGGTAAAAAAAATAAGCCATTATGTATTGAAGGTTTGAAACGTGAAATGTGTGCAAAAACTGATAAAGATGGTTTAATTAAAAAACAATTTAAAGTATCAAATAATGATATTGAACAATTTCGTATTCCGGGTGGAACTGGAGGAAAAGTAGAATATACTGTATCAACAACCGATAAAACAATTCAAGCAAAAGGTGAAATTTTTTTATGCGATGACAATGGAATCTCAATAATTAGTGATATCGTAAGTATATTTATAGAATAGAAGATTATTTACTGAAATTTATGAATAATAGGATGATACAATTAAAATAACTGGTGTAACAAGTGTTCGTTCTGTAATTCGAAATACATTTTCTGGTGAATTTAAAGCAGTACCGGGTATGTCTGAACGTTATCGTCATTATGAATCATTATATAATGCAACATTTCATTATTTAACGGCTTCACCCGATCAATTATATCCATTTTTACGTGAATTTTTTGATCGTGAACAATTTCCATTAGGTTCATATCATATGAGACATTTTACATGGTTGGATTCAAATTTTTTTCAATTTTTTGCATCAAAATCATTTATAAAACAAAAAACAAATATTTTACGTATGTTTTTTCAAGAAACTCGATCAAGACAATTTATATTATTTGGTGATATTTATCAAAAAGATCCAGAAATTTATGCAAATATTTATGAAGAATATCCTGAAAGAATTTTAAAAATATTTATACGTATTTCAAAGAAAAAAATTACCAATCGATTAAACAATGTATTTAAACATATACCAAAAAATAAATGGGCTACCTTTTTTGATGGTTATGATTTACCTGAAACAATTTTTTAGAAATAAAATTTTTTTCAAAATGATGTATGCATTTTTTGTTGTTCAAACGATTTTTTTTTTGTGAGTTCATTCAATGCAGACGATTCTTCAAATTTTATGAGACTTAAAAATTTTTTTCAAAACTATGTGGTAGAATGGCTTTAGAAACGCTTTGGTCATAATAATAGATGATCCAGCATGGATGTGTAATGGTAATTACTGAAAGTAATAGTTTCCCAGTAATGAAAACACCACTTTATTATTATTCTTTAAAACAAAAATTATTGTTTGAATAAGTGTAATGCAAGACCAGGTTATTTTGATTTTCAGTTTAGGTTATTAAAAATATTTTTATCATAGACTTGTTATGGTTCAAAAGTTGTATTATATTCGAGTCGTCATAAGACAGGCACAATCAACCTTGCTCAATTGATATCAGGAATTCTATTGAAACTCTGTCTATATGTAGTTCTAAGTGAGATGCTGTAAATCTGTAGTATTATAGATATCCTATATATTGGTACAGTCAAAACCATTATCTGATGTATTAAGCATCATATAGAATTTTAAATTCTATTGCTTTTTGAGTGATATATGGATTTCTGCTGTAAAATTAACAACTACTGCTTTCCCTCCCTCCTCACCCATCAGCTCTATCAACAGTAGTTCTCAAAAGTTTGATTTTTCACCTGTGACTTGAACAAGAACTTCTTTTAGTATGTATAGAAACCATTCTAGTTAGACTACAACTAGGTATGTGCTAACATCAAAACGTTTGGGATTTGGATACTAATCTTTCATTTTGAGTTAGAATCTGATTTGATCAGCTAGTTTTGTGTAGTAGTAGTATTAGAGAAGAGAAGTTTTCATTAGACTGCAACTAACTTATAAATTGCACTGCTTGGTAAGGAAATAGAATCTATTAATCTTTTACGGAAACTTTCAGTAAGAGAATATCTAATCAGAGTATGAGCAGGATCGTCTTGACTCAGAGATGCTTAGGGTGTAATATCTTCACCTAACATTCGAAATTTCTTTTTTTTTAATTAGTTAAAAGATTTATAAAGTATGCATACAATTGAGATTTAATTAAAGAAAAAGGAGAAGCCATACTGTATGATCTAAATGAAGGTTACAGTGCCCTTTTGTTTTTCGAAAACTTTCCTATATCCATTGGCTTTTTAAAAATTATATGTTTGTTTCATATAATAATGTAAATTGAACTATATTGTACAGCTACGAAGAAAAATAAATCGAACGAACAGTTAAAATTCTGTTTTTTGGAAACATACAGTATCTTGGAGGACAGATTGTTTTACACCCTCTCTTCAAGTTGGAAAGACTGGGGCAGCATCTAGTATGACTATTTAGTGTAAATACAGGTAGTAGATTCAACTTGACTACAAATATTTGGAGTCTGAACCTATAGGTGCTTTCTCAACATTCTCCTGCTTTATTTTTCGATTAGGAGAGATTTATTTCGTAGGAAACTTAGTTTTGACAAACATTGACTAAAGTCACTTCCAATAGATCATCACAGACTGAGAAAATTTAATTTGAATATTTCAAGAAACTATTTATACGTTCAAATTCTTCGATCCTAAATATCAATAGACAAGTTGTATCAGCTACTTTCATCTCCATTAAATACTCATTCTTCAATCGACAAATCTTTGTTACTGCAAGTTTCAATAAAGGATCAGTAGATCGATTTGGTGACTCAATGTTGAAAGCGAAAACGTCTTAAACAAAATACTGATGAATATCCTTTTTAGTTATAATTTTCATCGTCATCCTTACTGATTTGTTGTATGCATGCTTGGCATCTTACAATCTATTGATCAAAAGTTTAAAAAATTCTTTTTCCAAAATTTTACAATTTTTGACATTTATCGACTTTCTCGATTGATCTTACTTGACTTTCAAGTAGTGCAAGCTACTAGTTACTTGCAGCATATCGATCACTTCTTTTTTCTGTTATTACTATGCAAAGCTTGTTAATCAAATTAGATTCTATTATTACATTAGTCAATAATTCAATTTAAGGTGAAAGATCAAAACCTAATTCTCAAAATCAACAGTTATGAATTGATTCTTGTATTGACTCATGCATACTAATGTCTAACCTCAATCAAAACTCTTTGTTTTTTTCATAATTTTAGTTGCAGTTTTTTCAAGTGATCACTGATGTGATAATAATATATTTTGTAGAGGACAAGAATACGGCAATCTTATATGAAAAATGGCATATAACTTTGAAGGATATTCTTTTAACAGTTGTTTCGTTCTAAATGTAGAAGAAGATCGTAACCAAAACTTTATGAGAAGAAAATTTCTTTTTCGATTTAATTATACGCTGTCAACCATATACTTACATACTCATCGTAAACAAATCTTCTAAGAACGAGTTTCGAAATTTGAAAGAAGTGCTTTTAACGAGTCAAATAGAGGTCTGAAACAATGCATTTTAAAACTCCATGATAAAAGTGAGTGAATTCGGAATTATCTCGGTCATTCGAGAACCAAGATCAGCAACATCTAACTATGCACGAGTATAATTTCAAACAAAATCGATTTCGTTCTTATAAATTAGTATTTCTGCTTTTCATTCTCGTATTGCTGATGATCTTGAAATGATTAAGTGACACATTGGTGATCTGAGAAATGTTAAACTCTATGCGAATACATAGAAAAAAAAAGTGTAAACAAATGATAAAATGATCATTTTGAAACTCAGTTTAGACAAGGATAAATGTATACATGACAAACATGATTAGTATGAATTGATGCATGGATGGAGAATGAGTCGATGATACCAAGTATCCCTCACATGTTGATACACAAATATGACCGTATTTTTGTAACCATTTCAATTCTTCACGCACTTTGATTTTTTCATGCCATGGATTGGTGCTAAGGTCATGACCTTGGCCTGGAAACACTATCAATTTAGTTGGAATACCAAGAACACGAAGTGATCGTTCCAATAGATAACTTTCTGCGACAGGCACACGCACATCAATTTCACCTGTAACAATATGTGTCGGTGTTTTAACATTATTCAGTTGAAATATTGCTGCTTCTTCCTGATAATGTGTTGGTATTTGCCAAGGGTAGCCACCTAGAAAATAGGCATTGCTCGTTGGCATATCATTTGTTCCCCAATCGATCACATGTTCGATAGCCCCGGCTCCACTCAACGCCGCATTAAAACGAGTCGTTTGAGTAATAAGCCAATTTGTTAAATATCCACCATAACTATAGCCACCAATTGTCAATCGTCTTGGGTCGGCAATGCCATCTCGTATCAGCGCATCAACACCAAATAAAATATCTTTACCCGGTCGAGAAACCATTTTCAGACGTACACCATAGAGAAAATCGTCTCCATAACCTTGTAAATAAATATCTCTAATCATCTATCAGAAATCAATAATTTCAATTACCTGATGAACCCCGATAGTTTGGTTGCAGTACAAGCCAACCTTCAGTGGCCATCATTATTGCACAAAAATACCAATCGGCATAAAAAGCATTCAAATCAGCAAGATAAGGTCCACCGTGAATGAGTACTAGTAATGGCAAATTTTTCTCCTGAAACTTATCCGGCGGATAGAGAAGAATGCCTTCGATTTCAGTTCCATCATCTTTATTTAACCATCGATAGGATGTACCTTTAGGTAGATTTCGTTCTTTAAAAAGTTTATTTTCGTATGTAATTGATTGAGCAAGAGTTAGTTGATCAATATTATCAACGAAATACACTTCTTGTGGTGCATCGAACGAGGAATGAAGAAAAGCAATGATAGATTTGTTATCAGCATAGGTAGTAATAATCGATTCATATGTTCCATTCCAACCTATTTTTTTAGCTAATGGACTACTTATCGATTGTTGTGCATAAACTTGTATCTCGGTATTCAATTGACCGAGAATAATTAAACCTTGTCGTCCATTTTCTAACAAATCGTAAGCTCTTATTGAACCTTTAAATTGATTAGCCCAACGATGAATATTTCCAGTGAGAAGGTCGAATGAATAGAGTCGTCCTTGAGTATCTCGATACTCACCATCGATCGATCCTTCACCTGTTACAGTAAAAAGAAACGAGTCGTTATTAAACCATTTCAAATTTCGTTCAATAGCTTGATTGTTTGTTAATCGACGTGGAATCGTAGATGAACGATCAGTCAAATCAATGGAATAAATTTCATAATCATCCATTGATTCAATGTGTTGTAATGTTGATTCAGTCGAATACACCAAACGTTTTCCATCAGACGAACAAATCAATTCTACGACTCGTAATGAAATATTTGCCAAAATTTCAATTTGAAATTGATTAATATCTTCCAAATTGACACGATAGATTGTATCACCTCGTTCTTTGTCTCGATATTCAATTACATCATTCCATTCATTCTTGTATGCTTTATCAGCCTCATTTGTCCACGGTGTTCGTGCAGCAAAGTAGAGACTTGTATTGATGTTTGACAATGTAAAAGCATGAATCGATTCGTTACTCAATGGCAGAGGAAACGTTTGCTTCATTCGAGTGGAATACAAATAAATTGTATTGGACTGATTTCCACTTAGATAGGCAATCCATTCGCCTTGCCAACGAGGTCGAAGTAAACTGGACGCATGTCTTGTTAATAATATTTTGCTCTTATCATCAAGCGAATGTAAATGGAGATGATACTCACTGATATTATGATTCCATATGCGATGTCGTGTTTGAATGAGAATTGATTGACTATTGTCAGGTGCAAGTGTTAATGAAGTAAAGTCAGTATAGTTGAAGAACTCGTCCAATGTCAATTTTGGCATCAATGATAAGCTATAACTTGTCCAAATAAGAAGTAGAACAGCAAATGTGTAGTTCATCGAAAACTAAGAAATGTATTTTACTAATTGTCAGTGATTGAAGAAAGTTTTGAGTACGTCTGTACGATAAGCAGTCAAAAATTGAAATTTATCAATTATATATTCTGCACGACAATGATTAGGTCTTGATATTTGCGATTGATCGATAGTCACTTCACAAAGATAAAAAGAAAAGGGTTTCCTTTGATAATGTCTAGGGATTAGTTTTTGTTTTCTTTGTTCTCTTAAGATTAATTTTTCAAAACGACAAGCTATTGTTGTTGTCAGGATTCTTTTACAACAATAAGGGGACGTTAACATGCTTATATTTACTAGTAATCTATATGTGCATTATATCCGACTATATGTAGACGGTATGGAATGAGACTGAAATGTAGGAAGGATGAGAGGGTCAGACAGTCTTCTCTATGTCTTCAGTACTACATCAACACTTTCACTTGATTTACTGTTACTGAAATGAACTAATTACATTCGATTTGCTTGATTTTGCTTTGGTAATTATTCATATGTTAATATGCAACAAGAACAAAACGATTGAATGGTCTGAACTTTTCCGACAGGACTATTACCCACTGCAGCATAACTTAGATATGGACTAGATAGATTTCATTGGACTACATGATAACTAACAACAAAGTGACATATTCTAATAATGTTAGTGTTAGTTCTCTCATACACTCTTCATTAATTTTGTTTCATGACAACTGGCGATAATCTGCTGTAATTTCACCAATAATTGACAAAAATTTTATTGACAAAAGTCAGAAGTTGCAAAAGAGTCAAATACCTTATCTTCTCTTACTCTTCAATGACTGACATTCTTCTTTGATGATTCTACTAAATCGCTCCTCATTGGTCTAGTCTAATCGATGAGTTTGATCACAAACGCATGCTACTTACACATGACAACAGATGAAATAATGAATGATATAGTTCAGACATGATATTGTGTTTTTGTATTATAAGATACATGCAACTGATGAAATGAAACGAAATATAGACAGAAACTGAAGAGTTCTTCTAAGCGATTTGCTGAAACTAATATGTTCACATGTGTGATAGGAATCTTAAAGATCAAATAAATATGTTCTCAATGAAAACATTTTGCTAAGAAATCTCTAATTTACAAAATCATATGTTTTCAACGATATGGTGCAGTCCAGAGAAAAGAATCTAAAACAAAGAGAGTTTGCTGATGATTCCAGAAAAAAATGTGAAGGGAAGATGATGCGCACCTACTGAATGGACATCACTGATTTTGATCAGATGTATTGAGAACAAAGCTTCTAACTGAAAATATGTATTTTTTTTTATCTAAGTCAAGCTAAAAACATTGTATGAAAAAACATCAGATATCTCGTACGATAACTTTAAAACAGTTGACATGCACTTGAAGTTATTCTGATATAATACATGTTTTCAAATTGAGTCGTTTAATTTTTACAACTATGAAACAAATCCATAGTTCTCTATTACACGAGAAAAAATAGTAATCTGCTCAAAGGTCTTTCAATTGAATATTTCAAACTATTTATGACAAAATTATCATTAATTTATTGAAAATGTACAATTTCATAGATTAAATTAGTATCGTCACATTATAAAATTGACTTTGTTATTTCTAGTTCTAATCATCATAATGCTCCATGTATTCGCAAGAAGCTTGTCGTTTCAAATAACTTTGATGATGACAACCGTGATACATGAGTTCTTCATCCATGTCTTCTTCTTGTAGCTTATTGTGCATATTTTCAGCCATGCGTACCAAAGTTCGAATCATGCCTTTCTCATCATCAAGACTTTCGACATCTTTGAGTAATGTAATTTGTTGCGCCAACAGATCAATAGCATCTTGCACTTTGCGTTCCTTGACTAATTCAGCAATTCTTGAATCCATATCGGCAGCCATCTGAATGGCATACATGGTCTTTACCCGCGGATCAATCGATGCGACAAGTGATTCGTCTTCTACGAACTTTAATGCGAGAGTACCTCTGATCACAATTGGTTCACTAGCGAGATCATCAGGTCGATTATATCGCAATTCGTAGGCGAGTGTCTCTGTGTCACTGCCATCCCCATTTGCTGTTCCTGAAACGTTAAAATCGCACAAAACAGATCTTAGATTATTACTGTGAAGATCACCCAGATTAGCACCCTCGATGATGTTATCATGACCCCATATTTTAGTGACAATAGCACCATTTTTACCACGTATAATAAGACGAGCTTGAGATCCACAAACGTTAAACACACTCATGAGAGCTTTGGTTACCAATGATTGAATAACTTGTGCAGATTCAAGAAAGAAAAATTTAGCACCACCTGTATCAGCAATACCTTTCATGATTTCAGCATCGAAATCGGCACCAATACCGAATGAATCGGTGATGATTCCTTTTTTATTGTATCCAGCAACGAGATTGGTCAATTCAGCTCGTGTTTTCAATCCAACATTCGCTTGTCCATCAGAAAAAATGAACATACGACGTGAATATCCTGAATATGAATACTTATCAAGCAATTTGGCACCAGTTTCAATGCCACCAGAAAGATTAGTTGAGCCAGCCGTCTTTATTTTATCAACAAGTGGATGTAGCAATTGACGGGTAGATGCTCGTGCATTTTGAAATATAATAGAAACATCTGTATCATATGCGACCAAATGAACAACATCATCGTCATGAAGTAGATCGAGTACGGAGCAGACCGCTCGTTTTGCGAAAGTTAATTTGTTATTACTTTCCATTGAACCACTACGATCGAGAATAAGAGCCAAATTAAGAGGGGTTCGTTGGCTTTTTGTGTCATTACTGTTCGTTTCAATATCGAAACGTGCTCTCTTAGACTGTAATACGCCAGCAATAGCATGAACATTATCTGGAGTACATCGAACGGTTACCGTTGCCAATTCGCTTTTGGTAGCCATCTTTAGTGTTCGTTTAAAAGACTATTCTAAAATAGACAGAGCAAAAAATGAAAATTATATTCATCGATTGAACGCATCATAACCATAGATGAGCGATGTTCTCTATTTCATACACATTTTAGTAGATACAAACAATATTTTATCTTCTATGGGAGTCTCGAACGAATAACTATTCTGTGTTTTCTTCGCATACTGTTAAAAAATAAATTCTACAATAATATATCTATTTCTATAGTTGGCCAAATTGAACAAAACAGTCAACTTCAATACAGTTCTGAATGAATGTGATGACTCTTCTATGACCGTAATTGTTATTTTTCTACTTTCTGTACCTCACGCTCGAATTCGGCTAGATGGAGAAATTGAAACTTTCAATAAAAAAAGAAACTATAAGAACAAAACTACCTGCAAGAATGATAAATGTTAAATGAATAGTTGATGCATGTTGTTGGTATTTATATGTATGTGTATGACAAAATGAGTGAGAGTAGTGGCGCAATATCTGCTTCTAAAATTGCGACATTATAAGCAAAATGATGTTTGAGTCATGCATATGTTTTCGTTCTCAACCATACACCATATCAGGCGATCGAGAACAGTAAACGTGGTAGTGACTCATTGAAGAACGACAAATTGTTCTTTCACAATTGGGTAGCAATATAAATATGAACGCAAACTAAAAAAAGTTTTCGATATGTCGGATATTTTGAGCATTTTTTCCTCAATTTTTCAGGATAATGTTTCTTTGCCTTTCCACTAGAAATTGAACACAAATCTATTTTTGGAAATGCTCAAGAGGCTGTATGTTCTCTCAAGAAATAGCAATCACTGATTTTAATACACAACTGATGAACATGAAAATCGATGCTCTACGACAAAAATCATTATTTGGATTATATCCAAGTGTGTAATGACACCGTTACATTTTGAATATGTACTTGAATTGCAAAATATGGATGAGAAACGTTTTTTCACCAATGTCCTGAATCACCTTTTGTTGATTCTGTCTTAAATACCATAATTAATTTTACCCGTTGAATAGCAACATCCTTCTCCTTATTCAAGCTACTGTGATTAACTATCGTTCCTTGATAGATTTAATTCATTCTAATTATGTACGTGAAATAAAACTAGTTACAATAATACGGCATGTGGCAATGAAAACTTGGCATGACGATTTTTCTCATTTTGCAATAGACAAGAGTCAACTATTAGGATGAAATGATCAGTTGGAACGTGAAGTTCACGTGTTCTCTGAATATGTCGAAATCAGTGGCGTAGCTCAGAATATTTAAGTAGTGAGTAACTATAGATCCTTGAAAACCAATTGGGTGGCATTTTTTTCTATAATCTATTGCCATTCTAAAATCCGACGTTCATTGAAGAGAAAATCGACAACCTTAAGTAACCGGCCAGCAAACTTACTTTTTTCAGACTGCTTCACAAATGTCCTCTCCAACTTTCAAATATCTGATTTTTGTACGTCGAGCAAGCATTATTAAGCAACAATATTTGCAGTATTCTGATGTTCGAGAAAAGAAATTTCCGAAATTACCAACAGAAAAGCAAATAATTTCTAGAAAACAAAAACAAAGGGACCAGTCAGATTTAGCGACGATATCTGAATTGATTCATCAAATATGCTATCTTGTAGAGCGATGAACGACGCATCGAGTAGTATATCGAAAGTCGTCTTTTTGTTAAGTTATGAATAAATTACAGTCAATTTATTATTAGTGGCTTATCATCCCAAATTGCCATTATGGTCATTATGCCCATTATGACCGCTATGACCATAAAAGATTTTATTTAAGTAACTAGAAAATTAATTTAGTTTCTTAGAAACTAATAGAAAACATCTAGAGATTTATGAAAAATTAAACAGTTTTTAAAAAAGGTTAAAACCAAAAAAGTCGAAAAAAACATCAGAGTAAAAACCTAATCTTCTATGTTTATATTAAGTTATGTTAAACTTTAATTGAAGTCGAGTTAAATCTAGCAAGTTGTAGAGTTCGCGAGATTATTTAATCAAAATCTAGTTTATCTAAGTGAGTGCCGATCTAGGAAACAGAAACGAATTCTTTAACTTATGTCTATTTGTCTTCGAATTCGATCTAGATCATTAATAATATTTAAATTATGAATATATTATGTTGTAAAAGTTTATTGAGCAATATTCTAGCCAAAAAAAAATACATTATGTTGATTTGTTTGTTCATAAAAATACTTCCGAGCAATATTTTCTGATATTGATGCAGAAGTTGTGCGCGGGTATATTAGAATATGAACAAGTGAAAAATAAATACTTTATCTACTCAGAAGTAACAATTACGGAAAAATTATTTTATAGTTTGGCGCCTGATTAAAAACGAAACCTGTCAAGGCATATAGATTTAAATAAACAAATCAAGATAAATCGAACGTTCATAACAACTTGTTCAGTTTTGTGAATTTTCAATTAAGCGAACCTAATTTAGCTTAATTGTCACTTGCAATAACGGTTTTTCATCCATATTTTGTTATAGGATTGTTTGCGATACTTTATTAAAACTTTTTGTTAATTACTTTAAAAACATAAGGAGAACGATAGATACTGCACAAGTTTTTATGTATTCAATCGATAAAAAATCATGATTAAGTTATCATAGTTTATCATTGAATAATAATGCCATAGTTCTAAATTGATGTCATTTATCAAAAACTGAAAAACAATTCCGTCCTTTGAACCACTAGAGTTAAATCGACCATTTATCATGGAACCTTTTTTTTTGACGAAGGCATTAATAAACTTTCAAACTCAGATAGAAAAAAAAGTTCATATACAAAAACTATTAGATTTTCTATCTATTTTGCATCGTCTGTTCCTGTGGGGGACGTTTTTTTAACTTGTTTTTCTCATTCGGAACAGTACTCATAAGTAGAATAAATTTAATTACTTGCAGACTGCAACTGATTATTCAGTTAGTTTTCAAGATAATTCGATAATTTTTCTATTATTCAATTTAGAAAACATTTCTCTATATACTAACGTAAGAAATTTATAAGTCTCTTTAAAATTGCTTGAGTAAGAAGGATGGTCTTCGCGTCCTCAAAAAGCTGTTCAATTTAGGAACATTACTGTAATACTTACAATGATTAAATTCTATTAATAGATGAAATTATTTCATTGACATACGATAATATTTTACCATCAGCAAAAAAATGTCATTTCTACCATGAAATGAAAAAAAACGACAATTTTTATTAGCTCGGAAGAGAATCGTTCATTCTATCGTCATTGTCAATGTAAATAAAAAAAAATTAAAATTACAATGCCATTCTAAATATTATCCTTGCCTAAAAGGAATATAGGACAGAAAATGAATCAATGGATTTAAAATATTGCTTTTTAGTTTACAAAACTCTGCTATTTTATTAAATTTCAAAACGATTCAAAATATCTATTTCTAATTTTTTTTACGCGTAGTTCAAATTATGAGTAAGCTTTAGCAAATGATTTGTCTCTTATTGAAAATAACCATTCAATGGAGAAGAAAAAAAACCTACTGAAATAAATCAATTGAAATGAATAACCTAATTTAATAATGTTTCAAATTTCCTTTCAGGATAAAGTCACAAAAATAACTGATGTTTCTGGGCTAAATCTCAAAGCAATCTCGATATTAGTCTTTCAAACGTCTAAAACAAAGTCTTCTGAGATTTTTCCACAAGATCTATCTCTTTATACAAGTATTCAACCATCATCAGGATGAAATCCTAGTAGGATTCTGAATTGGTTTGGTTATAAATCTTGATAGGAAGGTAAACAACTAATTCTGAATGCAATTCAAACATAAACCTGCAAATATCTAAATTAGATCCTTGTATTTTCCTATAAAAATCTGATCATGATTGGTATTGTTCTGTAACGATCCGAAAAGGTTTATTTCTGAAAAAAATTGAAGCAGAATCTTAATCGAAAATTGACACAATTTATTCGCTTAAGGTTCTCATTAAATCTGATGTAATTGAAAAATTTGACTGAAACGTCGTATAAAGATCCAGAACGAATCTTGTGAGTATCTCGAATGAGATCGAGGATGAATCTTGGTAGAATGCTGCCTTCTTAATTTAGAAAAAAATCTCAACAGAAATTTGAACAAATTCAGAAAAGAATCGTGTTTAATTATGAGAAATCCTGCAAGCAAGAATTTACTAAGATTCAAAACAGGGTGCTGAATTAAACTTGACAAGACTCTTGAGAATCAGGATATTACCAATCTCTTTAGACTTTCTTTAGATATTAACAGAGCTGAGAGTAAAATATCTGGTATTTTGTGAGACAACTCCTTATTTTCTTAGAATCACTAGATTTCGAGCTACAATAATAATTATTTAGTTTTATTCTTTTAAACACTGTTTTATTTTTGTGAAAATTAAATATTTTTTAAAATTGTTTTTAACAAAAGTGACGAAGTCTTCAATGGATCTAGAAGAATGAAAATTAGCAAATAGAGCATTAGTTTTTATTCTCTTGTCAAAAAAATAAGAAAATGTTTTATTTTCTCTATAATACAGCAAAATAAGAAAGAAATTAAATAATTTCCTGTTGTAGCTTGAGGCCTAGTGATTCTAATGAAATGAGATATTTTATCCTAAAAAATAATCTAGATTGAATTACAAAAGTACCTATAGAAACATGTTCTAAAGCTATGTATTATATATTCATTTTTTTTTACTTTATTCATCTTAAATCTCATATTATACATTTGTAACCTGTTGATCAAAGCTCTATCAAACCCTATATATATATTAAAAATAAAATCTACTCAGATTTTGCATTCACTACACCTTACAAGTGAATACATCAAATTTCACGGACACTAACAACGATAATAGCAATTGATGGATTATAAATACATTATACTTCTTCCTGTCCGATCCGAGTTTTGTTTTAGTAACAATATTTTCACTTTCAACAAAGTAACTATAAACAAAAAATTCGGCATGTTTCAAAAGAT